TATGCTAGTATTAGATGAAGATCCAATATTGTAAACTGTAGATTAGTGCTGGATGCTTGAGCCTCAATGCTATGATAGCAGTGGAAACTACTATAGCTGTGTCCACATCAGTGACAACCTCCTTGTTAGCTGATGTCCTTCCAAAGAGCCATTAGTAAATCATATGGAATGTTCTTGATTGATACACTAGCTCTCACAAGGTATTGAATTAATTCATGATGCATGGTAACAAACGATACTTCGATGTGATTGAAAATACCAAAATAGATTTAAGTTTTCTTGTAAGCAGGTGGAGTGATCCAATGATGACAAACATTGTCCAGAGAAAGCAAGACTGGAGACCAGGAGACGTTGCAGTTTCATGCTACGTGAGGACACGTGTACAAACACAAACAAAAACAATAATATATTATCATGCACACATGTACATGCAGACACTAACATATTAAAAACAAGAAAAATGAAATATGGGCACTGGTACATGTACATACATACAGAACCAGTAAGGGACAACCAATATTATACAAACATACCAATAATAGCTAAACAGTACATGTTGAGAAAATACTTAAATAGTGAGATATTTCCACACTGCAGTTACTTATATAACCTAAGACCCTTTACATATACCAAAACCATTTGATGAAAACCAAATTATAGACCTATACCATAATTATTAACCTTCCTATATACAAATGTATAAGTGCATTTTTTTATCTTAATAGCATACCATTCCTATGCATACAACTTATAACATTATGATCAATCCTTAATATGACACAATGATACCAACACGATACATTGCATTAATTCTACTATACCAGTATAATATCTTAATTCTATACTATTACCTATTTACAACCATTAATGTTACCTACATCATATATTAACCTTGCTATAATACATGTATGTGGGTATGTTCTTATCCTTCATAGCCTACACAGACTTACCACTTATGAACCTTAATATGACACAATAAAAACCATATCATGTACCTATACCATACTAACCTCATTGCTATATAAAGTACATTCCTCTCTCAATACCATAACATTACCTACCTACAACTTATGCTGTATGACCACATAACATAAGACAACTTAACTTAATACTAAATACCATACCATTAACTAAAAATCTATTACCATTGCTTCCTACCATATTACTGTATATGACCCTTGTCTATTATTATAACCTTAATGTAATAAGAATAATCTTAACAATCTACCACAATGTTCATGTACTAATAATATACAATAATAATAATTATGAAATAACTTGTGTTGGCTATAAAATAACAAACACTCACTACAAAATGCAACGCAGAATTGAAATTTCGCTATAATATTGTGTCAACTTTAAAGTGTCATTTGCATCAAAATGACCAATCACATGCACGTAAATTTGACGTTACGTTAATTATAGGCTTACAATGAGAGCTATTGACTTATTTTCAAAAGCAAACACTAAAACAAATGAGCTTAAGCCCAATGCTTTCACAGTATCGAGAAAGAGAATGAGACTTAGGAAGCTGGTGCCCAAGTCCATTAACAACCCTCATCACAGACCTTCCCAATCCACCCACTGTGAATAAACTTTGTTCTTCTCTTTCTCCTCTCCCCACTGGAAGACAACTAGTTATAGAGGACTGATCCGATTGTAAACTGTAGGAGAAGTGTAGAGTAGTGATGCATGATATGAAAATAGTGGTAAGTCCTGTAGTTAAAGGATCAAGACAAAAAAAAGAAAAAGAAAAGTCGATCTGATTCTTTCTTCTGATAGAGTCCATAACACACAAAAAGGAAAAAGAAAAACAGAGGGTTCAAACATGAAATACTGGGTGCCTCAATCCGAACCAAAAGGGGGACTCCTTTCTCACACACTCCTGGGCAAAACCCTTTCCCCTCCACTGACCCTCCCCTTCCCTCTCACATGATTGGGACTAAAAGCAGGTCACTGTGAAAAAGGGTAGCTCAACCCTGTAGTATTCCAGAATCTCATGACTATAGGACCCTGAATTTTAATTAAATGTAATGTGTTGCAATGTATGCCTAGACTTAATTATTGGTTACATGTCTTGTCTGTAGTAGGTCCTTTCTTAATAATTTGTGTTAATGTGAAAGTATTTTTTAATTTGTATTGTAGTATATAAATGTTTGATTCTGTGGTTATTTTTTTGGATTTTTGATTGTGAATAATAGTATCTACAAGAGTAATATACTACAAACCCATACAGTGAAAAATATGCTCGTGTATTCATTGAATCCAAAGTAGCTATGATATGTTTTCTCCCT